AGAAGGAAACTTCTTTTTTTTAACTCAGTTGAGAGGCTGGAAAGATGACTCATTAAGATTACCGGTTGTTCTTCCAGAAGACCAGGGTTCAGTTTCCAGCACCCACATGCAGGGTAACAACCATCCTTAACTTCCAGTTCTAGGGGATCTGATGCCCTCTTCTGGCCTCTGTGGGTATCAGGCACACACACTGTATACTTATATACATGAGGCAAAACACTCATATGTGCAAAATAAAAATAAATAATATAAAATCTTTATAAATAAATAAATAGGGGCTGGAGAGATGGCTCAGTGGTTAAGAGCACTGGCTGCTCTTACAGAGGACCCGGGTTCAGTTCCCAGCACCCACATGGCAGCTAACAATCATTCAAAACTCTCCAGTTTCAGGGGATCAGATGCCCTCTTTTGTCCTCTGTGGGCACTGCACAACAGAGATGCACTTATATACATTCAGGCAAAACACTCATACACATAAAAATAAATAATTTTAAAAAAATTGCTAAATAAATGCAAACAGTTAAGAGGCCGAGAAGACCCTCAGTTTTGACATAAAGTAACACCTGACAATCTCTCAATTTGCATCTTTCTGGCATCCCATCCTGAGCAATCGAAACATGCAACTGTGGGAAATTTTCAGAACACTCATGTCACTGAAGGGACTTTTAAAATTCACTTGATGGCTCTATCTATAAGGCATGTATATTATTAAAAATTCCTTGATTCTGTTACATAGAGCCAAGTAAAATAAGCAGAACAGTGGCCTTTAAACCATAGCAGGAACAGAATGGGGCCTTCAAACATTATTTTTTTAATGACTGTGCTGTTCTAATGCATATGGGTAGAGGGACAAAATTCCTTAAACGATGTCAAGTATAACGCATTAGTAAATATCTACAGTGATGAAAGGCCAGGAGTGAAGATGTTAAGAGTACCAACATCACATCTATAGATGGAATGCTGACATTAAATACTTTCTAGGGCCAGCAAGATGCCTCAGCAGGTAAAGGTGCAGGTCATGCAAACCAGATGACCTGAGTTTGATCTCTGGAACCCATGTTAATGTAGAAAAGAATCCACAAAAAAGCTGTCCTCTGACCTCTGGTGTTTACGTCTGCCTGTACACCATAATAAAATAAAAGTTTAAGAGAAAAAAGAATACTTTCTAAATAACCACACTTCAAATATAATATTTGATTAACTAGAATAAAGAAAACAATGCTTTGAGGCTGGAGAGATGGCTCAGCAGTTAAGAGCACTGATTGCTCTTGCAGAGTATCTAGGTTCAACTCCCAGCACCAACATGGCAGCTAACAACCATCAGTAACTCCAGGTCCAAGGGAATCCAAGGCATTCTTCTGCCTTTGTGAGCACTCTGCATACATGTGGTACACTTACATGAATGCAGGCAAAACATTCATACACATGTACACATAAAATAATTTTAAAAGCAATGTTTATAAGGTTGGGTGTGGTGGCTCCACCTTTAATCCCAGCAGAGGAAGGCGGATCTCTGAGTTCAAGGGCAGCCTGATCTACATAGTGCATTCCAGGTCAGCTGGGGCTACTGGGAGACCCTGTCTCAAAAAAAAAAAAAAAAAAAAAAACCAAAGCAATGTTTATCCCTACCTCCTTTCTGAAGTCTCCTTCTTTCTGTGGTCTTATGCTATCCAACCAGTCAGCTTTTATTCCATCGAAGTAACTCTGGACCCTGGATTTCAGTGATTCATATTGCCAAATAGCAGCTGATCCAAATGCACAGCCTGTAAACTATGTATTTAAAAATAATTTAAAATCAAGCTATGTATTTATTTCCACAACAGTATGTCACCTAGCATAGTAAAATCTATTGTGTTCTATTTTGTTAATGTCATGTATCCTTTTTTTTCTTTTTTTTGAGACAGGGTCTCCCTGAGCCCCAGCTATCCTGGAACTCACTATGTAGACCAAGCTGGCCTTGAACTCACAGACATCTGCCTGCCTCTGCACTGGGACTAAAGGTGTGCACCACCACTGCAATGTCATGTATCCTAAGGCCTATTTCTTGCAACAAACCTCCAGATGAAAATCAAAATACCAACTTGGTGCCACTTAAAATGCTATACCAAATAAAACGCCCATAAATTTCTTCCTCAAGGGTTGTATAACTGGGCCAGATTCCCAAAGCAATTATTCAATTCATTTCAATCACAATTCATGTACCGGTCCCTGCCATCTGTTCTTACTCTAAAGGAACCCAACCAGGGCAGTAGCAGCAGGGCAATACCAGTGATGTGAACTCTTACCCCAACAGTAAAAAAAAAAGGTTTCACAAGAGTCCTTATAGGGTAGGGAGAAGGATAAAAGACTGTCTCTTCTACAGGAGGGATCAAAGCGCTTCTTTTATATGATTCACCACTTGATCCTGTATCTGGTCTTCGAGGTTCAACCTTCCTTGGAGCTTTTCTGAATCCACATTTTTGCTGAATAAAGAAGTTAAACCTGCAGGGGAAGGGAAGTAGATACCAGGTTAGAAATAGGGGCATTCTACAAAGAGCAACTTCTATGAGCCTCCACTCAGCCTGAGTCATCACCATTTCTTTATTCTCTCCACAGTCCAAGAGCCAAGATTCCAAATTCCAAGTAGGGTAGAGTCACATTTAATTCTTCTGGGAAAAATGATTTACAAACTACAGTAACTTCAGAGTACCGGGCTATTACTTTGTAATAATCAGCAAAATAATGTGTCTATTCCCCATACATTCTGTTGTCTTATTAAAAACTACCTAATTTTGGTTTTTGTTTTGAGACAGGGTTCCCCTGTAGTACCATCTGACCTAGAACTTGCCACATAGACCAGGTTGGCCTTGACCTCAGAGACCCCCTGCCTCTGCTTCCTGAGTTCTGGGATTAAAGTCATGTCTGGCTAAGACTACTTAAGTTTAAAATTTTTTTTCAGAGCTGAGGACCGAACCCAGGGCCTTATGCTTGCTAGGTAAGTGCTCTACCACTGAACTAAATCCCCAACCTGTTTCTTTCTTTTTTTTAAAAAATTAATTATATGTGTGCACACGTGTGCACCCATGGCATGCTCGTGGAAGTCGGAGGACAACTTGTGGGACTCAGTTCTCTTTTCTACCAAGTGGGTCCATAACTATCAGCTTCAATTAGTATAGAATGACTTTATTTTGCTTAAAGTTTGGTCAAGTTTCAGAAAAAACATTTAAATGTATTATCTTTACCACTATTTCCTTTGATAAATACTGACCATTATAAAGCGATGGACTCCTCTTCTCATTTAGGGACACGGAGCAAAACCTGTGATAGGGGTCTTGTTGCTTTCTCAAAACATCTAACACTATTGATCATACCTCCCAGTCTCAGCTTCTCTAAGACCCCATGCTCTATTCTTCAAATTCATTTTTTAACTCTGATAGTTCTATTACGCCTTAATGGTAGATACATGCTCAGAGGCTCCAAGAGTTCCTTTACTCCACGCAAACTCAACCCATGTAAGTTGCTTAAAAAAATTTGGGGGGGGGGTGCTGAAGAGATAGCTCAGCGGTTAAGAATACTGGTTGTTCTTGCAGAAGACCCAGGATAGAATCCCAGCACCCACATGGCAGCTAACAACTGTCCATGACTCCAGTCCCAGGGGATCTGAAAGCCTCTTCTGACCTTCAAGGGCATTGAACGACATGGGTGCACTTAACCTACATGCAGGCAATACACACATATACATAAAATAAAAGCCCCAAAAAATTTTTTTTGATTTATTTATATTTTATGTGTATGAATGTTTTGCCTACATGTATGGATGTGCACCACATGTGTGCAGTACTCTTGGAGTCAGGAGAAGGCATCAGATCCCCTGGAACTGGAGTTACAGGCAGTTGGTAGCCACCATGTGAGTGGGTGGAAACTCAATCTGGGATCTCTGAAAGAGTAGGAAGCGCTCTGAACATGAGCCATCTCTCCAGCCCCTGAGGTTAAGTTCCTTTTTTTTCTTTTTTTGAAGAATGAATTTTATTTACATTACTAGTAGACCCTCACTGCTCTAGGTACTCTGAAATATAGTTATTTCACCAATGACAGGAAAAAATATCTTCTAGTATTTGTTTGAATAGTTGTAACTACATTGCTTAGTTATGGGACTGGAGAGATGGCTCAGTGGTTAAGAACACCAGTTGTTCTTGCAGAAGACCCAAGTTTGAATCCCAGCACCCACATGACAGCTAACAACTATTAACCACTGCTCTAGGTACTCTGAAATATAGTTATTTCACCAATGACAGGAAAAAATATCTTCTAGTATTTGTTTGAATAGTTGTAACTACATTGCTTAGTTATGGGACTGGAGAGATGGCTCAGTGGTTAAGAACACCAGTTGTTCTTGCAGAAGACCCAAGTTTGAATCCCAGCACCCACATGACAGCTAACAACTATTAACTTCCAGGGGATCCGATGGCCTCTTCTGTCCTCCGAGGGCATTGTATGACACGGGTGCACTTACCTACATGCAGGTAATACATTCATACAATAAAATAAAAAATATAAATATTAAAAAATTAAA